GCGGGACGAGACAGAGGCGCAGCGGACGGAGGGGAGGGAGAGACAGAGGCGCAGCGGACGGAAGGGAGGGAGAGACAGAGGCGCAGCGGACGGAGGGAGGCAGAGACGGGGGCGCAGCGGACGGAGGGGAGGCAGAGACAGAGGAGCAGCGGACGGAGGGGGGAACAGACAGAGACGCAGCGGACGGAGGGGAGGCAGAGACAGAGGCGCAGCCGACGTAGGGAAGGCAGATATAAAGACGCAGCGGACGGCGGGCAGGCGGACACAGTGGCTCAGCGGACGGAGGGGAGGGAGAGACAGAGGCACGGCGGACGGGGGGGGGGGGGGGGGAGGCAGAGACCGAGGCGCAGCAACACGGGTAGCTGAGCAGCGGTAAAGAGCGTTCGGCGCCGCTTTGAGTCACTTAGCAGCGCAAGCAGCGGCCGCTCAGTTACGTGGGGCCGCCTCCACACCGTGAGATACTGACAGGATACGCCCACTGCGATATATATATATATATATATATATATATATATATATATATATATATATACATATACATTACTTCTAACAGTCCTGCTCGGGAAGGACATGCCTGCGGCCCGAGACAGGGGTCGCTGTGTCACTGCGAAAAAATGAGACTGGATGATACTCATCCGTTCACATTGGCGAGAATGGTTTTCAAAATGTAACTAGCCTGTCTCAGCTGCAAATGGCCCAGATGGACTGACCTCTGCATGGCGATCAGCCACGGCGGCGGGATCTTGTTGCAGTTGGCTCGCCGGCATACCCAAACTGACCTCTGCATGGCGATCAGCCACGGCCGGGCGGGATCTTGTTGCAGTTGGCTCCGACGCGCATGCCCAAACTGACCTCTGCATGGCGATCAGCCACGGCGGCGGGATCTTGTTGCAGATGGCTCCGACGGGCATGCCCAAACTGACCTCTGCATGGCGATCAGCCACGGCGGCGGGATCTTGTTGCAGTTGGCTCCGACGGGCATGCCCAGACTGACCTCTGCATGGCGATCAGCCACGGCGGCGGGATCTTGTTGCAGTTGGCTCCGACGGGCATGCCCAGACTGACCTCTGCATGGCGATCACCACGGCGGCGGGATCTTGTTGCAGTTGGCTCCGACGGGCATGCCAGCGCCGTGCGCAGGTCGTCGGAGAAGTCCCCGGCTTCTTCTCCTTCAGGCGAGTCTCAAACTCCTTGCCCTCGTAGTACAGATCGCCGTGAATGGTCATACGCGGCTTGGTCTGCCATCTGGCGACAGGACAACAATCAGCACGTTGTTGGCAGCACCAAAAGGGCACGGTAAGCGCACATCATCTGCGAAGGCTCACCACAATCCAACCTTGCATTTACTCTCAAGCGAGAGGTGAGCGGATCGATGCTACACCACACAGCGGATCGATGCTACACCACACAGCGGATCGATGCTACACCACACAGCGGATTCGTCGCTACACCACACAGCGGATCGACGCTACATCACACAGCAGATCAATGCTACACCACACACACAGGTTATCACATCAAACAAACTGTCCAAGTCAGCGAGCAGGAAACAAACACCCCGCACTTTTGTTTTCCGATGCACAATTCGACTCACTTGAAGAACGCGTCATGCAGCTTCTGGTAGTCGATGTCAATTTGCCCATCTTGGGCCTGACCTTCTCTCGCATCTTGGCCTTCATGTTCTTGGCTTCCTCCTTCTCGGCGAGCGCCTGCCGCATCTCCATGATGCCGGTCTTCTTGATAAACTCGGGCAGGTCGAACGGCGGCTTCTCAATACCCCGCTTGCCTTGCAGATACTGAGGGAAGCGGCACTCACGTTGCACAACTTACTGAGAAAACAGACTTGAACCACCTGCATTGCAAAGGCGACTTTCATGTTCACAGACTGGTTGCTGT